CCCCCCCTGCCGCCACTTCTCCTTGGTAGTGATGGCTGACTGACGACTGCTCATGATTCCACTTGTTTCATATTCAGTGTTTCAAATGTTCACACACTTGCAATTTTTGCGATCCGTCGCGTGAATCGCGCAAATCGCGAAAATCGGCGAAACCTGCGGACGGATCGCGGAGTCTGACACCAGCCTAATGCTTTCAGCTGATTCTCCTGATCTCCTCCTTCCACCTTTCATAATCTCCTATCAAATCAAGTTGAACCTAATTTTTTCACTTTTCTTCTATTCTGCAATCTTTCGATTGTTCTGCGTGTTTGGTACCATTTTCCCTAATGAACTTTTTTTCATAGAACACATTTATACCAAATACAATGCAACAGCTTTGTGGCGCGATTTTCTACATTGAGTTACCTGTCGAAGGCGCAAAATCACCGATCATTGTAATCAATATATTCTATCAAAGCTTTGAAAACACATATCAAAACAACAAATACCTATGGGAAGGAGAAACCATATTTCGGCGCTCATGTCCTCAAGGGGGGCATTCAAAAACCGGTGGTAGGTGACACTACGACTAACGATAAGCCTAGAATTGGGAATAAATATCAGGGGAATAATGGTCTTCTCGCATCGTCTCCCACAATTCTTTCCCACTTTCAGGCTTAGTACCGGTTCTATAGGTGGCCCACTCACTTCATTGTCCCCCCCCCCCTAGAGGACTATATGCGTTTCACAACTTCACTGAGTTTCGAGTTGTTTTGCCGCTAAGATAGTTGCCTTTGCATACTTCAGACTGAAAAACATTGTGCAATGATAGTAATCAAAACCAAGAAGCATTAGGTATCGGCTTATAGAATGGGTATGGAAGTATATACTCGAGATCCGTAAGTTGGGGTAGGCGTGTCACCGGAAGTGACGTGTACTTGATAGAATCTATGTGGATAAGGCTGCTTCCAATATACATCGCGAGATATCAGCAAAGCATGCTGGCAACGACTTATCCTACGCAACTTCTATCAAGTCCACGTCACTTCCGGTGACACGCCTACCCCAACTTTACGGATCTCGACTGTACCTTCGTTAAGCATTAGCGCTCACCCATATTGCATATCAACATCGCATAAATGCTTTCTTGTGAAACCTTTTTCTGTGAACTGATAGAAAGCACTTTTCAACGTCACACACTCGAAAAATAAACGTTAAGGGAAGTGTTAGAGCTTTGACAATAAAATGAGCAGTTATATGTCCGTTGGTGACTAGTTTCGGACAGGTGTCAGATTTTGCGATCAATCGCTAATGAATTCAGCGAAGCATTAGCATTCAGTTATCACTCGAGTCGCTAGCGCAATTAGCTAGCGATTGTTCGCAAAGTCTGACACTTGCTTGATGGTTGATTGTTTGGTGTGAGGTCTTGCAAAGACGTGGTGAGGTAAATGTCTGCTATTTGGTTGGAATGATTTGAACTTTAATTGACACCTTCTACTTCTTTCAGTAGAAGCTTTAAAGTCTCAAGCAGTGTTTCTTCATGATTTTAAGAAATCTGGTTGTTTTTTGATGCGGTTTTGACTTCATTTTTACGTAATCATGAGGTAACGTTCACGTTCCACCTCGCATTTGTGAGAAAAAGCTTGCGTAAATGTGTTTTTGCGTATTGGCAATGCTCAGAGGAGTTGTCACTCCTGCAATGTCCTGTGTTTACCACCGGGCATACTAGATTGTTTACGATAGTGTTCGTTTTCTCGTGTCATGCGGAAACTCAGAATATTCATGCAAAACACTTTGTTGAAATTGTTAAAGTGATTTGTGAACACTTTGGTTTGTATCAAGAGTCAGGCAATTTCTACCTTTGTTCAGCGATGTTCTATTTGTGGCTCTACTCGGAATTGAATTCTCTATTCTTCATTTGCTTCGAAGTCCAGACTTTCTTGTAGGGGGTCATACTTTGCAACCGCCTTCCCGTTTGAGTGTTTTATAGATGCGTATCAATTGGGCGATCCTGTGATCGCATGATCGATACGTATCTACTCCACACTGACCTGCAGACGAATCGCAAGAAGTGGCCAAGCATGACCGCCGGCTTTGTTTGGTTTTTTCATCTTGACAAGTAATAATTGGGCAGCGTTTAGAGTTGGAGCTCGTACATGCGAATAGGCGATTACGCGATTAGTCTGTAAGGCCGCGTTCATAGTTCGCGACTCGGGAGATTAGGATAGTAGGCGACAGGATATTAGGATAGTAGTAGAGTAGGAGATTGCGCTGACAAGATTGGATACGTATCGATTGAAATCGCTGGAGAGTAGTAGATTGGGCGACTTCAAGCGAATAGATCAATACATATCTAATCTTGTCAGCGCACTATCCTAATCTACTACTATCCTAATCTCCCGTCAATACATATGTTTTTCATTGTCGCGTACTATCCTAATCTCCGGAGTCGCGAACTATGAACGCGGCCTTAGCCAGGGACCAGTATCAAGCGGGCGATTAGGCGAGTAGGCGATTCGGCGATCGCTCAATGCGCTGAACATCTAACCAAAACGTATCCTTCTTTAGTCGACTACTCGCCTACTACCTAATCACCTAATCGAAACACACTTCCTTCTTGAATCATCGCCTAATCCCATGTACGATCGCGAACTCTGAATGGTGTTTTACTATCCTTTTCCCTTTCGAATTACGTGCAGAATAGTTGGTCGATTCACCGAAACGTATCAGTGTCGTGCAAAAAATGCTTGAATGTGCTATGAGCCGTAACACTGCTATCGCGCTGCCTTTTTGTTAAGTATCTCTATCTTATCGGTCGTGTACTTTTCGGACTTATGTTACCTTCGTGGTACTTCGACCCTTTGCATCTGTGCCTACTTTATAACTCCACGTATTGCATTGGTAAATATCTAAATAAGCCTGCTAATCTTAATTAATAACTGCTATTCGTACGCTGACTGTGAGATCTCTCTCAACTTGCTATTTCCTTTTCGTGGCTTTTTATTATTTTCTTATCAGCCTGCCAGTCTTTGTTTTTAGATATGGAACGCGATATAAGTGAAGCCCTCAGTCAGGTTTTGCACGAGAGCGGTTATGATGTCAGGTCGGGGATAGGATCGTTGACGACAGCACAACTGTGCAGGTAAAGTTGTGTAATAGGTGACTTTTTACCATAGCTAGTTTGGATGTTCAGGTCAAAAACCCTGGAGCTAGACGTACTGGGGAGCAAATGGAGGTGTTTTACAGTCGAACCACACATCTTCTCTCCCAACCAAACTCCGATGATGAAGATTTTGGTAGGTGGTTATTTCTTCCTTGTTTTTAAAATTGAAGGGTGATATAGAGTTACGGTCATGTCTATTGAATGGCAAGCGAATCCAAATAACTAGGTAGCCCTCCAATCGGCCTTCCTGTGAGACGGTATTTGATAGAATAATGAGTTGATCCGATCTTTTTGGGCTATATTCTGCCAGTTTAGTTTGGCTGTTTACAGTCTTATGTTCCGATTCTGGACGAAGGAAGGGCCCTTAGGCTTTAAGCTCTAGATAATCATGGGAATTTGTTAACTCTGTTCCTTCTTTACTCGCCGAGGTGGTTAGTTGACCGCAGGCATACTTTGCGATTTCGTTGCAGTCCGGGTGTGGAGTGAATAAGCATGGGACGTTTTTCTCGCTTGTTTGAAACTGCACATATTAATCACAAATTGGAATGGATGTCTTTAATTGATAACTATTAAACTGAAGATAACATAATCTTTTAGCTGCATCTGGTTCACAACACGATGGCAAATGTCCTATTATCATAGCTTGGTAGCTAAAGGCTTAGTGGTACAAGGACGCAGTACATTTTTCTTCAATATTTTCTAGCAACCCTATCCGACTCGGAACTCACAGAACGCTGTAGAGTCGACTCCATTGCGTGGTACAGCTGGTGCTAGTGATGATGAAGGTCGTAAGCACATGGTGCTCAAATACAGGAGAAGACGAGGTGGACAATGGAGACAAGTACAACGGAGTGATAGTCCTGTGCGCAAAGGAGACGAAGACGAGCTGGAGGTCAGCACATTTTAAACTTCCCATTTCCTACCTTCGATTTTATAAAGTTGAAGCTTATAAAGTCTTTGCTAAGCCCTCTTTATTCTGACCTTTGTTCCGCAATTATAAAAGAGTGCATAGGAAGTACAGAAAAGATGCTGATAGCTCTGTGGTCGTTCGGCATATCGAACGTCAACGCCAGGGTTGAGCATGAGCTGCTTGATTCCTGTCGCTCCCTTTCCATTTAGACTCAAAATTTTTTGCAAACCTTCCGATTCTAATTTTGATGGAAGGACAGCATTCGAACTAGACCAACTTACAGTTTCTGACCCTATGCTCTCTCGTTGCTGCTCTTGCTTCAACATCTTCGCTGCTGTGTAGCGCAGAACATACTGTGTCCCGGCTTATCAGGAAATCATCTTTCCATTAGAGCGTCTTGATGTCTTCGATCCCTGCAGCCATAAGTTGCGCTTTTCCTATGACAACATTATCTTCCCACTCCTCTTGAGCTTTTCACTCATGCAAAATGCAGAAGAAATCAGCAAATAAAATAATCAATAAATAAATTAATTTAATAAATGCTCATTGCTGCCATTGTATTAATTAGCTCGATATAAGGAATTGCTACATGTGGCAATTGATCATTGCTTAATTTGCTGATTTAAGGTTGATGTCACCGAGGAATGCTCAGAAACGACAGGTATCGTTACTAAGGTCAGTTTTCGATCATGACTTGCATTACATTCTGAAGAGCGTGTGCACGTACATCTTTTTACAATAAAACTGGTTCCGCGTTAGCACCGTTTAATACGGAACACTGGTAAATTGTTGTGATGATCGTTCAGAAGGGATGCTCGAAAGATATTACGATCTAGTCGTCGATATGTTTTTAAAAGCATTCCGAAGGGATCATTGTTGATCGATGCTGTTCTTTAGACTTACGAGGCTCGCTGGAAAGTTTTGAAATATGAACATCTACCGGAATGGTTGCAGGATAACGAGTTTTTACGGTATGTTCTTCTCTGCCCATAAAAAATTCACGTTGTTCGAAGTGTATGTTTATTTTCTTTATTTAGTCATGGTCATCGCCCTCCACTCCCTTCTTTTGCTGAGTGCTTCAAAAGTATTTGGTCGCTCCATACTGAAACAGGGAACATATGGACCCACCTCATTGGTATTTTTTACTTGAATTGTTGGAGTGTGTCGTTTTTTGCTCTTAAAAACCTTTTCTCTTAATTGAGCCCCAATCTCAGTCACATTGATATTTTAGGTTGTTTTGCATTGTTAATATCTAAGCAAATTTACATTTAGGTTGTTTGGCATTCTTCTGTCTCGGAGTGTGGTTTCTCACTCGTCCTGATAACCATATCCAGTGGCAGGAGAAGATCGTGTTTTCCTTCTTCTTCGGTGGTGCCGTTCTCTGCTTAGGTCTTTCCTTCGCTTTTCACACTTTGTGCTGTCACTCAATTAATGTCGGCCGTATTTTCTGCAAGTAAGTATATAGGTTTAAGATCTTTACGCTACCTTTACTGGCCCTCTCTTTACGTGTGGGTAAATAACGTGTTTTACTTAAGACTTGATTATATGGGCATATCCCTTCTGATAGTTGGATCATTTATTCCTTGGATTTATTATGGATTCTATTGCCGGATGGAGCCGAAGATTACCTATATTGGTATGGTGTCTGTCTTAGGCGTTGGTGGGTGTCTTTTATATCTCCTCTTAATTTTCTTTGTCGTAGTATTATTGTAAAACGCTATGGTTTCAGCAGCTATAATCGTTTCGCTTTGGGATAAGTTCAGTGAATCTCGTTTTCGACCTCTGCGAGCTGGCGTATTCGTTGCGATGGGATGCAGTGGTGAGTATTTTCAATTTCTTCTTGAAAAGAACTGAGTCGTGTTGTTTCGGCTTAGGCTGGTGTCATAGTCCGCCGATCTGTCGCAGGTTTCGCTGATACCGCCGCCACTTCTGCTTTGATAATGATGGCTGAATGACGACTTGTTAATAATTTATAGACGCTTAGAATCTATAGGGTAGAATAGAAGAATCGCATGAGCATCTCAATGAACTGATAGACATTGAACATGAAACAAGTAAGAATCACGAACAGTCGTCTTTCAATCTTCACTGTCAAGCAGAATTCGCAGCAGGATTAACAGCACCTCGCAGTATCATCGGGCACTTCCAACTCCTGTGATCCATCGCAGGTTTCGCGCAAATCGCGAAAATCGCTGAAATCAGCGAAACCTGCGACGGATCGCGGACTCTGACACCAGCCTTACTGAGCGCTTTCTCCTCAACAGTGTTTCATTTATAACATGCATATTTTCTTCACCTCAAATCCCTCAACTTGGATGTGTTACAGAAATGTTGAAGGATCTTCTTCTCAAATTGTAATAATTTGGGCTTTCAATATGTGCTAAAACATTCCTTGATGCATTCCTTTCTTGTTATGAGAGGTGACTGCTTCCTTTCTGACAAATGGAACAGCGAATTGATGAGCCACCAGTGACGCAATGTTTTGGTCAACAATTGCAGCAACTTTGTGTTGAAACGCTTGTGATTCAGATGTCGGAATGATGAAGGGAATGACTAGTCCTCGGAAGGGACGTTCTGAAGGAAATATGAGTTGCGAGTGTAACTAATTTAAATGATTCTTACCAGGAAGGTCTTTCAGGGCGTGACAAGCTTTTTGAAAACGGTCTTTTGCATGATATAGGGGCAGATGCGGGGACCACAGAACCATGTTTAATTTTTCCTGAACGGCCCTCTGAATACCAGAAAAGGGGTCCCTAGTTCGATTCCTCTTGGTGACAAATTTTTGCATTTCGAGTTGACGTTCCAAAATTCGCGCAAAATGGAGTTCTGATTGTTCTGGTTGGTTCTAACTCCATTTTGCGCGAATTTTGGCACGTCAACTCGAAATGCAAAAATTTGTTACCACGAGGAATCGAACTAGGGACCTCCTTTTCTGGTATTCAGAGGGCCGTTCAGGAAAAATTGAACATGGTTCTGTGGTTCCCGCATCTGCCCCTATATCATGCAAAAGACCGTTTTCAAAAAGCTTGTCACGCCCTGAAAGACCTTCCTGGGTAAGACCAACCCAGCAGTGGTATGAACGCTCCTCGGTTATAAGACAGCTAGAGGACAATTCAAATGTGGCGTTTTCGTGCACGGAAACCAACCGATAAGAGCGCTTGGGCCTTGCAAAGTAAGCTGCCCAAGCTGCAGACTTTTCTTCTCTTATCAGCTGTTGTCTGGCGCCCTCTCATCCTTAGCGCTTCTCGACTCATACTGCCCTCCACGCCTAGACTCTTCTTCCCTTAGCACAGCTTAGGAAGGTGAGCCCTTGACCTAAGCGTTTTCGACAAATTAATTTTTTAATTTTTCCTTCACTGCTGGCTCCTTCGCACCAATACGTTTGCATTCGTGCTCAAGGGCCACACCAATGTAATCCTGGAGCATGTCTTCAATTCATTCATGATACTTCCGGTATCTTTTGCGACCACAGCTGTTTAGTACTTTAATTGTTCTCGCAAGGTCTTCTTAACAAATTTAAAATTTCCGATAATACGTGATAATTTGATTTTCTTAAAAAAGTCCTTGTGAGAACAAATAAAGTATGGGGTAAAAGCATTCGTCAGATTTAGATTGTTAGCCTTTCTTTGGGAGCTGTATGGGAGCATTGTTGAAAGTGTGTCGAAGGAGCGCAATAGAGGATAGTTTACTGTGTTTAGTGGTTTTCTTTTGGAAAAATAACATTCTCTTTTTCAAAATAGAAATGCGGCCTGCTTCCAGCCGTCTAAAATTCACCTAGAAGTGGATTGCAACACATAGTGGATGGACAACTAGCATCCCATCCATTTTCTTTTTTCTTCAGCTCTCTCGTCGCCAGAAAATAACCTAAGTCGCTCCTGCAAATTACTCTGCCCATCCATTTTCTACTTCTTTCTCCTTCCGGCCAACTCTTCTCTTTTAATACTAGGCCTGAAAGATTGATTGAATCTAAATTGCGTTTGGAACTACACGTATTTCAACACAGACATGCACATTGAATTAGGTGAAGGAGTGTCCTTCACGATCCAAAAAGATATAATTAAATAATTGATTCTGAACAATTTGACAAACGTGACATCGAAATTCTCAGCTGTTTGTTCCAACAGTCACTTTTTTGTCATGAAATGTTGTATTTGTCATGAAACATGTTTTTTTTTCAGGAATCCTTCCAACTGTTCACTATATAATTACTGATGGCGTACGCTCTTTGTTCGAAGACAATGCATTTCACTGGCTTCTCCTCATGGCATTCCTTTACCTTCTTGGTGCTCTCCTTTACGCGACTCGTACTCCAGAGCGGTTTTTCCCTGGAAAGTGCGATATTTGGGTGAGTACCAGTTCCTTTTCCACACTTGTATTGACTAATCATTTTCTCCATGTTTCATTTTTTCCCGCAACTTCAAAGGGTAGATATTGTGAACGGCACTCTCTTTGTGCCGACCGTGCAATAGTACGAAATCTTACTGCTTGACCTTTTGGGCACATTTATTTATTTAGCCTTCATATAGTGTCATATAGTGGCGGAGGTATATTGATTCAGCTGAATTTTTTTGTTTCCAGTTTCAATCTCATCAGCTGTTCCACACATGTGTTGTGATAGCCGCATTCGTTCATTACTATGGCATATCAGAAATGGCTTGGATGAGACTGAACGGGCAATGTCCAGTCGATGCCCTTTCTTTTCTGTCTCGAACAGAATTGTAACAGTGTTAGAGTGAGGTGTAGAGTATTAATAATTGAATAATACTGCAGGGTCAGTCAAAATTCACCTCAACTAGTCTTCTAAACTCAGCGTTGTGGCCAGTATTGGTTCCTCTCTCTGTTTCAAGTCACTCCGGTTTATTTATCTGTCTTCATTCTACTTGTCGATATTGTTTCATTTTGAAGATAGGATTAGTGCACGCCCGCTATGGCGACTAGATACGTATTTTTTCTCCACTTATGTAAGGATGTCTCACTTAATAATTGTTCTTCCTCTGCTGACACTCTTCCGTTTTCACTTGATAGAGCTATTTCGGATATTGTTCTCCTTTTGATTTCTCATTTGTAATATGACATAATGCGCATTAAAAGCGATTGCCAGGTACTGTGGTCCGCTTATGCCTTTGTCATTGAGTGCTTACATGTATTCGTCTGCTGATTAATCAGAAAAATATATAAATGTGTGTAATAGGTGTAATTATAAGTACATTTGACAACGTTAGGGGCGATCCAAAAAGGGAAAAAGAGCTCTAGAAACAGGGTAAACAGAGCCCTGAAAGTGGCTCGGGGTTGCGATCGAGAAGTGTGACTCCTAGTCGTCGTTGCAGAATATGAACTGCAACCGGATACTAACTGCATGATCAGATTATTGTTGCGATTGACCATCACAATGGCTGATCGAAGATTTGGAACACGCGCCAATCAATCACGTCCTGCTTCACAGCTGACACTGATGGAGCTGTAACTGCGACATGAGGGACAACCATGGCTAGATTAACGGCTGCATGGAAAGGGGCCATATTAAACAGAGGATAGGTAGCAGGACTAATTAGGACAAGCGCCTAAAGAGTCCTTACAGTGAAAGAAAGTATGTTTCTTCTAGTCGTCCCAGTTAGTGTGAGCAGAGATTTAAGGCTAGGGCCGGCACAATGAAACTTATTTTACGTATTCTGTGGTGGACGTGCATGGAGGCCCTAATGCGGGCGGAGTTAGCCACGAAACATTATAGCTAGGTTCAAAGGGAGCCCAGAGGCTGGAAAAAATGCGTAAATGCTGGCGAAGAAAGGGAGGTT